CACTAAGAGAAGAGGAAAGGAGGAAGGAAAGGTCAAGTTTAGAGTTATATTCACCATAATATCCTTTAGGAATGGACCATACTTATACGTCCTTATATCCCTATGAACATAGCAGTCTTGAAGATAATAATGAATATATTTTATAGAATCAATCTAATTTTCACATTAGTATAAACACCTATACATTTATTTTAATTAATTTTTATATTTTCAAACACATATACCCAGAGAGAAATTAGGGGATTATGTTCCTTTCCTAATTTGTGGTTTAAACCAGATTATAATATAAAGTTTTAAAAAGCATACTTGTGGTTTGGGGATGAGGGAAGAGTAGTGACTAGGAAAGGAAAGAAAGGGGGCTTCTGGAGTATGATTAATGATCTATTTCATTATCTGGAGGTGGGATCTGGGTAGTCCCTACATGGGTGTTTCACTTTTTTAACATTCACCAAGTTCTCTAAGAGTCTAACGCAAAAGGACCTACAAGGTCAACTCCTCATTTCTGTTTTCCAAGCACTTCCTGAATAAAGAAAAAAGGCAAGAGGTAACTTCACAAAAGAATGAGGTTTCCTATTTGATTTTTCTCTTTGCAAAATTAATTTTTACACTTCTTAAATCATATACATCATGCTTGGTGATATGTATTTCTAGCTTCCAATAAGTTCATGAAGTAAGGCTTTCTAATGTGAAAGACTAATTATTATTAACAGGAGGGTCAGTTTATTTCATTATTTCCATTCCCTGGCATCTTTCACAGAAATATAACATAGCAAAGGATAATACAAATATATTTAATTTTCAAGAAGTAAAGAAATATGATCAGATTTTTGAAAAATTAAATATATCACATCATGCACAGAAAAATTAGATCTTGGCTAAAGAACTGAAAGGAAGCCCGGAGATTGTGATTCAACCTCCCATTTTCCAGATAAGAAAAAGACTTCAAAGGATTAACTTAGGGGCCACCCCATGGCCGAGTGGTTAAATTCGTGAACTCTATTTCAGTGGGCTAGATTTGCTGGTTCAGATCCTGGGCACGGACCTACACACTGGTCATCAAGCCATGCTGTGGCAGCAACCCACACAGAAGAATTAGAATGACTTATGACTAGGATATACAACTATGTGCTGGGGCTTTGAGGAGGGAAAAAAAAAAAGAGGAAGAGCAGCAACAGATGTTAGCTCAGGGCCAATCTTCCTCACCAAAAAGTATTAAAAAAAAAAAAGGTTAACTTAGCTTGAAATTGGTAAATTATAATACTCAACAATGTAAGCAAATTATTCCTTTCTGAAATAGCATGAAAAGAATTCCAATATAATCTTCTGTCTAGAATGCTGAAAGCTGGAAAAACAGTCACTTCCACCCTAACAAAGAGAAAAAGCTGGATAAACTCACTAAAATGTGAGTTCTCTGCAAACTGATCTACAGAATTAATGCAACGCAGTTGGAACCCCAGCAAGCTCTTTTGTAGAAACTGACAAGCTGATTCTAAAGTTGACATGGAAAACCAAAGGACTTAGAATAGCTAAAAAAGTTTGAAAAACAAGAACATAGTTGAAGAATTTCACAGTACCTGGTTTCAAGACTTCCTTTAACACTATAGTAATCACAACTGTGTGGTATTGGCAAAATGATAGCCATTGATCTATGGAACAGAAATAGAATGTCCAGAAACAGAGCTACATAGAAATGGCAAATTGATTTTCAACAAAGGTACCAAGGTAATTCAATAGAGAAAGGATAGTACTTACAACAAATGATGCTGGAACAACTATCTATCTAAATGAAAAAAGATGAACTTCAATTGATAATGAGCACCATCTGTAAAAATTAACTCATCATGGGGCATAGACCTAAATATAAAATCTAAAACTATAGAATTCTAGAAGACAACGAAAAAGAAAATCTTTGTGAGCTTAGGTTCCTAGACAGAAAACAAAAAGAACCATCCATAAAAGAAAAAATTAAAACTTTTGTTCTTATAAAGATACTGTTAAGAAAATAAAAAGAGAAATCACAGTTTGAGAAAATATTTGTAGTACACATTATAATAAATTGTGTCCAGAATTTATAAAGAACTCTCAAAGCTCAATAATAAGAAAACAATCCAATTCAAAGAATGGGAAAAAGATTTGAACACACACTTCATCAAAGAAGATATGGTTAGCAAATAAACACATGAAAAGATGCTCAATACCATTAGACAATGAAAAATGTAAATTACAACCACAATAAGCTACCACTACACATCCATCAAAATGGCAAAGAACAATCAAAAATAAAAAAAAAAACAAACAAAAGAAAATCTAAGAATACTAAGTACTACCAAGGTGCAGAGCATTGCTGGCGAAAATACAAACTAGTGCAAATATGTTGGAAAACAGTTTTAACCCAAGAGAAAGGAAAGTATAGGTCCACACAGAAATCTATATATGAATGTTTTTGGAAGCTTTATTCATAAGAGCCAAAACCTGAAAACAATCCAAATGTTTATCAACTAGTGAACGGATAAACAAATTGTGGTAGATCCACTCTGTGGAATACTAGTCAGCATTGATAAGGAACAAACTACTAACACACCTAACAATACGGATGAATCTCAAGATCATCATGCTAAGTGAAAGAAGCCAGATACGAAAGGCTAACATATTATTTGCTACTATGTATATGACATCTCGAAAAGCCAAAACTATAGGGAGAGGAAATAATTTTTAAAAAATTTTTGAAATCTTTTAAATAACTACAAAAGCAGTTCTTTAATTGAGAACTTTATACAGTACTTTATGCGATGATCCTCACATCCTATGGAGTAGGTACGAGTCTTACATCCACTGAGTAGATACAAAAATGGAGGTTCAGAGAAATTATCCAGTTTACTCAAGGCAACACAGTTAAGAGAGTGCCTGTGCTGACATCTGAACCTTGGTCTCTGCTGCTTCAAATTTCACGTTTTTTCCCCCTGCTACACTAATAATTATTTCTCATCCTTAGGTTTCATAATACTTGGTTCAGGCCTCTGCTAGAAAAGTTATAAAGTGTTTTTTGTAATAAATAGATTATAAATGAGGAATGAGAAGGTCTTATTAATTTTTAATGTTTACATTGTTTCACACAGTGTCTGGGATGCTGTGGACATTCAACTACTTGTGAATGAATAAAGAATTACTTGCATTTCCTGACAGGAGGGGGAGCACTGAACTAAAAAAGACCACGTGTTCCAAAGGTAACTATTACTTCGCTTCAGAAAACATAACTTCTCTAGCATATACATGGCACTACAAGTAGGATGTGCTTAAAAAGGTAGTAAGGCTTTTAGGAGTCAGAATTTCTAGGGGGTGACATACCTAGGCTTCAGTATCCACGTTTGGAAAAAGGACAATACTTATCCCTCCTTTTTCACAATTATGTGGATCACTAAGATAATGGATTTGAAAAGTGCTTTGCAAATGGTAAAGCAATAGATAATCACTGTTAAAATATTTAAGTATTATCATCCATATGAAGCCGCTCAAAGTAACACAGAACCCTTTCTTTTCTCAAAATCTGTATAAAGAAAAAGCCTTAAAAATCTCATTCCTTTCATTAATTGTAACTTATGTTTTATTGCAATGTTTATAATGTTTTATGGGTAACAACAAAACCCAGAAGACTCAAAAGTTGTATACTTTATAATGAGATTATAGTCTAAGCTTCTAGTTCTGGCAGTAATGACAGATGACAAGGACAAGTGAAAAACTGTGTAAGAAAGAAAAATCAGTTCACAAAAAATTAGCTTTTAAGTAGATGGCTAAGGTTTGCTGCTAATATTTGTTATTTACGTACGGTAATAACTTAAGGAACCAGTAGTCTTTTCTTTTCAAAGTATATTCACCATTTGTTCCCTGGAAACCGTCTATTTAAGTATTTAATATGAGAAAATGGTTTTAAGCTGTAATATTTGGAACAAACATAAATAAACTATCTTCCTATACCCAAATATTATTAAATGATTGGGAGAGTTAAATGGTTTGAATTATAAAAATGAAGATTATATTAGGCCTTCTTTGGATATGCGCATATTTTCAATAAGTTTTGTTAAAATAATAATTGCTTGTGTATTAAAACACACTGGAGTAAGAAAGATAGTGAAGGTCGCACGTTGCAACTTCCAGTTATGCAAGAGGAAATGTCAGGATCATATCTGGTTGAGCTTTTTACACAATGTCCCTGTACGGCATCACATAAAATCAATAAATACTCGTGTAAATACTTATTATTTAATTCCCTTAGTAATTTTATCCTGTATGTGCAATAAAGACAGTCACCACTTTAAAATTAGGATTTAACTGTTTCACTAAGGGCAAAACCCATCATGGCTACCAATTTAAGCCTCTAAAAGGCTATAATACGCATTTCTTCCAACTTAAAATCTGTTAATATTTCAATAAACATGTTAATTTGGGATCAAAATTTTTACTTCTCAATTATTCTATTTCAATCTCTGAAATATGGAAGAACACAATTTTACGTAAGGCCAAAGACTGGGAAATCTAAATACAGTAGACATTTCTCTACAATGTTTCACTTCAACGTACAAAATCGTTTAAAATGCCTTCATCTCCATACGCATACACACAAAGCCCCATGTGATAAATGAATTTCCATTTTGAAAATTATGTCTACTTTGGTTCAGAAACTCTCATTCAATAAAAACCCACACGGAGATAGTGTCCTTTTCCCTTAAAACTACGAGACAAGATTCTCCCTGAGCTCGCGTTTCTCCCCTCCACAGATTTTAATTTGGGGGAAAGCGTAATATTTCAGATTAAATGACAACTGTGATAAAGTAAGGGGGAGAATCCTTTAGTATCAGCCAAGTGCCGCAATCAACTTTTGAATTTGCTCAAAGTCTCGGACGCTACATTAATTGCGAGGGAGCATTAACAGAGCGTTTAGTTGGCCCATTAACTAATTCTTAAGGGCAAGGTCCAGTTAAACTTAGCACAAGCAGGAAAACGACCAATAAGTAAAACCCGGTTCCACCGAGTCGGCATCGCCCCAAGCCCGACAACTGAACTCGCCCCTTTTCTGCTCAGCTGCCTCGGGACACCGCAACGCCCTAGCAAGGCCCTCCCGCCCCAAGGGCGCCTGCGCAAATATCCGGAGTCAATTCCACCCTTCCTTAGGCTAGGCGACGCGAATGGTTTTGAAATTGTCAGGTCACGCCTCACTTTAAAAATCATTAGGTATGACAAAGCACACCAGAACGACCACTCACCGAAGTGGTCCTAAATGCAAGCGACAGAATTTAAGCTTCCTCTCAAGACTTATCTGATGCTGCCGGAAGCGGAACTACCCGTGCCGTTAAGAGGTGGGTACTTATGGGGACTGGAGCGCTTGGGTCACGGAAAATTAGAGTGGATCGTTTGGCTTCTGCCGGAAGTTGTTCCGCCCGGTGAGGTTTGCGTGGGAGACCCAAGGCGGGCGAAAAAGAGGCGTGCCCAAGCTTGGCTAGATGTAGTAGTGCGGTGCAGAGGTCTCTCTGTGTGGTCCTTCAGCAGCTGCTGAAGAGGGAAGACCCACGTCCACGCTCACAGCTGGAGTCTCTTGACCCACACCTCCCTACCGCCCCCGGCATTAACGGAGAAACCGAGACCTGCAAGGGCTCGGCCATCTCCAGCAGCTCGCGTGGCGACCGCAGCGTGGCAGGTGAGAGCCCCGAGCCCGAAGGAGCCCTGACATGCGGAACCTGGTCGCCCCAGGTTGGCGGCCCTTGCTGGACAGTGATTTGGTCTCCGGGCGGCTGTGCGGCGCCTCGGCACGCACTCCTCTGAGCGCCAGCGCCGGAGCGGAGGGCAGTGTGGGCGTGGAGGAGTGACAGCACAGTCCGGAGCGTCTTGTCGCCTCTTCATTTCCCCTCCTCCTGCTCCTCCCTTGCTTCCCTATTTCATTTCTTGGGGTTGAGAAGCCAGAGGGTTCAGCTCAGCTGGCAGGGAACTGTCGAGCTGCTTCTGGTACTCCAGGCTGCGAGCTCGCTCCACCCGCGTAGGCAACCTCGAGTTTGGGCACTGCTGCGGACAGAGGTGGCTATTTTTATTTTCATTCCTCAGTCTTTATCTCTTTGCTCCTCTGCGCCTCCACCCCCACTGCCAAAGAACAAAGGCTCCACGCGTTGCAGCATTCCAGTGTCAGGACGGAGGCTGCAGGTCGCTGCCGCCCCTCAGCGGTTGGAGAGGGTTGCCTGCTCGCGCGCTTCGAGCCAGGTGGCGACCATTGCATCTCACTTACTGGGTTCTCGGCGACTTCCTGGGAGTTTGCGACCTTTGTAGTCGTGTGGGTAACACTAGTCTTGCTTTAGCGTGCTGGGAGGCTTAGCCGTGGAGATAGGAAATGTGGCTGATTTAGCACCCAGCATCCTTACTCCACACTGGCATAGGGTTTTGTTTTGCTTTTGAAAATTCTTCAATGAAAAATAAAGTTTTTGTTTCAGGCAAACAGAATAACGATAACTGCCATTAACCGTGCCAAGTGTTTTACATGTTATCTCCCATACACCTCAACAATTCCGTGAGGTATATTAGATTATTATTCTCATTTTATTTAATTGTTCAGTTTATTTATTTAAACTATTATTTGTTTAAACTGGACAATTGGCAGAACATTTATTGATCACCCAAGTAAGTACTGTGCACCAAGTAAGTGCTGGGAAGATAGATAAAGTAGGTCCTTGTTCTCCAAAAGCTCCCACACAACCAACTACATATAAATAGTATTATGGAACTATTAATTTTCTTAAGTGGAAATGATATTGCTATGTAGGGGGATGTCCTTTTTAGGAGATGCATACTAAAGTATTTAGGAAATGTGTTGATGTCTGCAACCTTCAAATGGTACAGCAAACGTGGTATGTGTATGTATAAATAGAGAGTAAATATGGCAAAATGTTAGTAATTGTTGAGTCTGTTGCTGGGTAGATGGGTGTTTATAGTGAACTGTTCTTTCAACTTTTCTGAATATTTGAAATTTTTTCATAATAAAAAGCTGGAGAGGAAAAACCCTAACTCTAATGGAAACAGATAATTTGGATACTCCAGAATGCTTTGTGGAACATAGAAGATGAGAGAGGGTGCTGATGTGTGTTTGGGACTGGCAGAGGTGTGATAGTTGTCAGAAAAGCATTCACTGAGGACTTCCCAGTTGGTTATTGAGGGAGAAATAGGAACTTTCAAGGAGAGTAGTGAATTCCAGTTAGAAGGAAAAGCAGACTCAGCAAAAAGATATTGCATGAATGTTTGAAGAAGAAAGAAATTAATGTGAAAATTGTGTGGAACTTGGCATGGTCCTTTTTGTATAAATAATTTTGTAAATGATGCTTGGCTGCCTTTGCCACCCTGCAGAAGCCTATTTAATAACCTATTATGTAGCTGTAGTAATGGATCCCTGGAAAGGAGTCACCATTTTTAAGTGTTTCCACTGGAAAATGCTTTTAGGATTTCAGGAAAACTGGTTGTGTGTCTGTGTTCAGGCTGAGCAGCAGAAGCTGGGACTCCTATTTTCTCTGATTTGGGGAGCAGAGATTTACTAGTTCATAGTTGGGCTCCTGAGAACCTATAGAAAGGGCTACAGTGATGGCTTGCAAAGATTTTAAGTTTAGCTAAGGGAGGTGGTTCTGAACACTACATTGGACCGATGGATGATCCAAGGTGTCGTTTTAAGAATTAGGTAGCTTTGACCATGACCATTAAAGATGTGAAGGAGATGACTGTTTATTTCAGGCACTGGTGTCCATGAGAGTCTCAAGCAGTGTGGTAAGACTGGAAAAAAAGTTTAATGAGGTCTTTAGCAGCAGCAGTGGCAAAGAGAAGTTTCTGTGGCTTCATTAAACGGGAGGTGAATAGGTACATTCTAAATGGAATTGTTTGTATTTGTTCTGTGCCAGTTTAGTTTAGCTCAGAAATCTGTCTTAGAGCAACAGCTAACATGATATATAAACAGCTAACATTTACTGAGTCCTTACCATGTGCTAATTGCTCTGGTGTCTGATTGTCATTTAATCTTCAAAGCAATCTATGAGATTTATCATTCCATTTTACAGATGGTGACTGGAGAGTTTCAATAACTTAGTTAAGGACACAGAGCTGAGCAATTATGAGAAAAGTTTCTAAGTTTTGTCAAAGTGTAGAGCAATGGTTTTCAAAGTGTGATTCCCTGACCAGCAGCATCAGTATCACCTTGGAACTTTCAGGAAAGCAGACTAATGACCCCGACTCCCAGTCTTTTTAGTTCAGTGTTTTAGCAAGCCCTCCAGGTGATTTCTGATGCTTGTGAAAGTTTGAGAACCACTGCTTTGAGTGTGGATACTTTAGTAGCATCGTACAAATTTCAAATTTAGAAATCAGGGTTAGGTAGTATTTTTCTTTGGCACAGATTTAAAGAGACTCCCAAACCTGGCCGCACATCCATTTGTTAAAATATAGATTCTCTAGTTAGGAAATGCTTCAGAAAATTTGTGGTAGGTTTAGTAACATGAGTTTTTACAAGCATCCCAGAAGACAGACTCAAGTCTGTTGTTTGAATAATGCAATATCTTTAAGGCTAAATAATTACATATTTTGGAATTCATGACCAAGGATGTAGTTTGATCAAAATGTTGAATAATGTGGAAATGCTATATGCATAAACTGTATTTGGTTTAATTATAATGAAATGATGGACGTTATGTACTTTAAGCATTTATAAAACGAGAAAAAGGGCCATGTTTACTGTGATTTTGTATCATCAGCACTCAATACTGTGCCTTCTATAACAAGTGAAAAGTATTTGTTGAATAAATATATTCACTTCAATAAATAATCAGCAATATTCATTCTGTTAGTTTTGCACATTACATTAGGAGCTTGGTTTATAGAGTGCCTGTAGAAGCTGAGGTTTATTGAGTGTTTAGTATATGCTAAACACTTATGCTACTCAGTCGTCACGGAATTACAGGGTGTTATGATATCCCCTTTTTTACAGATGAAGACACTGAGACCTAGAGAAACTAGCATAATTTGCCTGTTACATAGTGACAGATTTAAATAAGTATATCTGACTCCAAAAGTTGTGCCCTTCCCACTATTGAAATATTAGAGCTGTTTTTAGATGGGACGAGTGAGAAAGTAAAAAGAAACCAAAGGGTGTTTGATAACAAAACCAGAACTGAGGTCAGCTTATACGCTGCCATCAAGTTTTATAGCAATTGAAAGCTTTTGTTGTTCTTTTTCAGCAAGCATCTTGTATATATAAAACAGTGCAAAGGGAGTAGGAGTGAAGGGCATTTATTTACTTAGTTTTTAATTGTGGTAACGTTGGTTTATAACATTATATAAATTTCAAGTGTACATCGTTGTATTTTGATTTCTGTGTAGATTATATCATGTTCACTGCCCAAAGACTGATTACAGTCCGTCACCACACACATGAAGGCATTGATTTGTAAAATGAATTATTGCTACTTTTATTCTTTACTCACAAACTGTTTTAAATTTCATAACACTGTGTAATTTTAGTTATAAAGATGGATAAAATCAAGCCTGGTTGGGTAAACTAGTTTTCATGTTTCATGGGAAGCCCCCGGTTAAACTAGAATTAGATCTTTAGGAATAGGACTTTTGGAGTTATGCTTTTCAATTGTATCTTGCATATCATTCAACTCTTCTTAAGAATATTTGATCAAGTAATTTCTTATATTACCAGTAATCAAAGGAAGCATTTGATATGTAGTCTTGGTAGGTAATTAGTTCTAATATGAGCAAGGAACACGTACATGTAAACAGCTTTAGTAAAAAATATTTTGAGGTTGTATCACTGTTATATGTTAATTCTTAAACTGATGTTCATGGACATCGGTTTATGTGGAAGAGTTTGGATGTCAGTCAATGACAAACAATTGCTTGTAGGATTTAGTGCACATGTGCATTTTTTTTCTGAGGAGAGGACCCATAGATTTTATTAGATTTGCCAGAGAGTCTTTGACTTCTAAAAGTTTGAGAGCTGCTGTTATAATGAAATCTACTTTTTGTTCTGATCTTCTTTTGTTGATTAATATATGAGACCAGAAAGCCAAATGGTTATTTTCCTTAAAAAACCTGTTTACAAACTGAACTTTTATAAATTGAAGCCTTTCTAAAATTGATTTAATATAATTTCAGGTTAATGTATAGCTGTCAATGGTTTTTAAACCCACATTAC